GTTTACTGTCTTTGATGACGGGATAGTGTCGTCGCGTATCATCTCTATATAGTAATAGTCAGCCCATAGGGAACTAGTTATCGATTCTTCTATAGAAGATGAATGATAATCCGCTATAATTACAGCCTTAGATCCAGCTTCTTCTGCCATTATACTTTTAGCAAAGAAACTACAGTCTCCTCTTTCGACTAGTGCAATTCTATTTTTTAATTCTTTGGCATTTTTTGCTACTTGACAGCCATGAGGTGGATCGGTTGGAACCAAAGGAATTCGTTCCTCTAGAAAACTTGCATTCTAAAAGTTTCACAAATAACCATGATTTACAAATAAAATCAATATTATCACTTGTATTGCTTTAAACTATTATGAAATATACTTACGAACGGTGCTCCAAAGTCTTTCGCAGGCCTTAATTTGTATGTATACTCCAATTCTGGTGGATATATAATTTCAAAAAACACATCTGAACCGATACGTCTATCGATATAAGAACTTATCGACTTGAATGTAAGGGAATGCCCTAAGGAATATTTAATAACAAATAATTTTCAAATAATATTTATTCATAATCACCCATTCTTAAAATTGCTGACAACTAACCTCTACCAATGCTACTCGATACTCCAATGTTGAGGAAAATAAGAACGACACAAGAACCAAGTAATTTTATTCCTTGTATTTGCATGGTGCATTCACGTTTTTATTAATGACATTACTACGAACATCATAAGAAACTTAACTCGACCAACATAATACTCGACTGGCAAACTGTTTCATACGTCACTCATCGTCGATGCGTTAGTACACACATCGTATACGCGACTCAATCGAATATACATGCGTACAGTCGATATAATAAAAAATCACGTAACTAAATTCGATGGAATAGCATCGAATATTTAGAAATGTACATGGAAAATAGATTCGTGTATCGTTTCCGGATGTGTATTTGAGACTAACCGTAATCGAAAAATCGATATTAAGTTTATTATCCGTTGGAACGGAATCTTCTATCAACAGTTGATAATTCAGATTGAGTTTGTTCTTTACCTTATAACGAATAAAGAAACTTTTTCTCACATTTGCGTTTCCATACGAAAATAACGAAAGAGATATCGGAATTAAGCGTAAACGACTTTTTCCTTGGATAAGAAATAAACGAACGAGAATACGAAAAATATATTTGTTGCGTAAGGATGATGTACAACGAAACCGAAAGCTTCCGCTATCTATTGACGCATAGACGAACCTCTTGACGGAAGTTAATCGAAAAAGGAGTGATTTTTTTCCGATAAACATATTCCCTGAAAATTTCCGTGTAAAATGACGAAAGGAATTGGATTCTCGATTAATCGAAGCAACTATTGCGGGTATCGGTAAGATATAAAATCATAAATGTAGAAGGAAGCGAAAACGCGCGCATGCGCGATACGCTACTGCATTTCATGAATGGATGAGCAACGTGAATGAACGGACGTCAGCTGAGTAGGTTCGGTACACACACGTACATTCACGGACACAGAGAAATAACTTGACACATTACGAATATCCGCAAAATATAAGGGGTGTCGAAAACATCGCGTATTTCGGAAAAGTTAGCCCTCTGTGACATCGAAACGGTAAATTCCGTAAAAGTCACTAGTCGTACACTGTACCGATATCGACGCGAAATTTCCGAAACAACGCTTAACGAATTCCAAACGTTCCAAACAGGCATCAAAATACTCACTCGAGTTTGATCTCTTTCACGAGATGAACGGATGACGTAAATGGTAGAAAGTTGGATAGTAATCGGGTTTTTTGCTTTTCATTGTGCAGTGAGCTCGAAACGGCAAGTTAAGCGCGTACGATATCCCGCCCACGAATCGCGATCCCGTTGCAATAGGAGCATTGCGGGGTCATAAAATATTTTAATGAAATGTAAAGTATTCGGTGTTAACTCGTAACGTTCGTCCGGTGTTGTGCCTTTTTCCAAACTATTTATCGCGATCAGGTTGACGAAACGGGCCATAACGTCCGGCAAACGGGAAAATCGAGTCGACGACTGGCAGCCTTGATTGTTCGCCAGCGCGCGGTTCGAATAGCTCGATTTTATCGGGTATAAATAATCGTAAGGCGAGACTTAATCGCGATAAATTTTCAATCCGCGTCGCGAGGCGGTGCTGCTGCAACTTTTGACTCTGGGACTGGGCCCAGGGTGGTGCGATGGCGCGCGCGTGGCAGGTGTCGTTTCATCGGCAGGTTGGTTCTAATAATCGGCGTGACTGGACCGGAGCGGAAAGAATCCCATTGACGTTAATGCACTTAAAAGCCTAAAAGCGGAGCGAGCCGACGACATGGTCGAAACAAAGCAACCTTCCCGTCGACCCCGGTAATCAATGGCCGCATCTATACACGACTAATCGCATTATCATTATCCGTGCTCGTTCGCCTCGTTCGCGTGAAATCGAACGTTGCAACGGCGCATAAAGATACCTACCGTTGGTGTCCGGTAAAAATAACGAACGATCAACGTAATTCCTAAAATACCCGCGACTAACGTACGAACCGACTATTTTCGTAACGCCTTTGCAACCCTCTACGTGGCACGGGGTGGTGGAGGAAACGCGAGGAACTCGCGCCGTGCATACGTAGCACAGACGTTTCCTCCCTTTCACGGATAACTTTACCCCCCCGGATTACGACGGCGTCAGAGCCGTAAGTCGGTGAGGTTCGCGGCTGCGCGGGGCACAGAGGGGCTCGAGCAGAAGGCGCGGAGGGTCCGGGGCGAGCGAAGAGAGGGTCGCCAGGACGCTCTCCCCGGACTCGAGCGGTCAAGGGCAGTGGCGTCGCGTGACGTCATACGGCGCTGCAGTGACGCAATCAGTCGCCAGGGGCAACCCGTCGGCTGACGGTCGCCTAGCAACCCTGTTGTTGCCCCTCTAACCCCGGCCGCCACCCCCTGCCGTGACCGTTCCACAGTGCTCGCGGTCGCGTTCTATCCTCTGCACGTGCCGTTCTTCAATGAATCCCCCTCGCTCTCTCGCTCCACCTTTTTGCCCTTCCCCACCAACGCGCACCGCATACACCGCTGCCACGGCTCTACCTTGCTTTTACGTTGACGTGACCCTAACCCCCAGCGAGGACTTCTCCGGATGCTGCCCGTACGCGCGACCCGATCCAAGGATTCTTTCCGCTCCTCCGTCCATGTTTTCCACGATTCCTCGTGTACACGTACTGCGAGGTACGTTCGTCGATCCGTACGGCTGGTGCACACCGCTATACACGCGATGGCTGACGAATGTTTTTGACCGACTAAAAGGGATACATTTTTCTTTCTCCTTTTTCACGAAAAAGGTCTTTGTTTCTCATTGCGTCTCACCGGGAACGCTCGAACTGGTCGATTTATAAATACTCGGTCGCCGAATTAAACGTCGAGAGACAACGTCGGTTTTGTTACGAGAAACCTACCCCCTAATTTCTGTCATTCGCCACGGCCCACCTACCAGCCGCCTCACCCCTTGCGGCCGGCTTACCGAATTGCGTCACAGCGTTACCGGAGACGCGAAATTCGAGACCTAGTCAGCTCGTTATATGCCACCGTTCTTGCATCGATCTCGCCGGATAACGCGAGCGTGGCAAAGAGCGCAAGTAAACGATACAGATCGTCGGAGGGGTTGGTCGCGACGAAAGGGACCGACGCAGGACTCTCACCCGGGGCTTTTTACATTTTCGTATATCCTTGCGGCATGCGTCGTTATACCCTCGTTCATTAACGCGATCAGGTGGCGCCATCTTTTTACCGCTCGCTCGTCGGAGGTGTTTCGTCTATGATTCATCCATCGTCCTCGAATTTCTGCGAGATTCCTCGGTATTTTATTTCGATCCGCGAGATCCGGGGATCGTTCTGCGTCGTGGTTGGAAGCTCGCTCGGGATAGAGACGCGTCCACGAGCGTCGATGGCGGAGTCTGAAAAGTTTCAGAGCGATCTCCGCGTATACTCGCAGCCAGACACCTACGTGTACGCGTCTATGGAGTCGAGCCACGAGCGAAGCAGCAACAGGTTTAATCGCGTCGGGGTGTGGCTGACTGGCTGGCCGGCTCCGCTCATTCGGCTGCTCTCCGTTTGATGCTGGTTTATAAGATCGATGCGACACACACCGGGTATCGTTGCGCGACGCGAATGATAGCGGAATGCTCGTTTTGCCGCGTCGATGCTCCACTCGTCGTTCGGGGGGAGAACCTGGACACTGGCCTGGAAATTAGAAAAAAGGGAGAAATAGTAGAGGATAAACGCGCTGGATTTCTCGGTGATCGTGTCTTGCTGGTCCTTTTCCCCGGTAAAGCCAAGGAAAATCGACGTTTCCTGCGTCTGCTCCTCGACTCGTATCTCGCTCTTTGTACCGTCTGACTAGAAAATAAAAAAAGAAGGAGAAAGAAAAAGAACAAGAATAACGATAAAAGCTGGAATAAAAATAAAAATAAGAATAAAGAGGGTAAAACGGAAATGTAATACGTACATGGAAAAAGATAGAGTCGATATAGGTTTAAAAGAAAGAAAAAAAAAAAAAAAAAAAAAAAAAAAAAAAAAAGAAAAAAGAAAAGGAAAGAATTCGAAACGATTGGCGTTCGTGAAAAGAGTAGACGTCGGAAGCCGGAAGATGTCGCGGCGAGTGGCGAGGGGTTGAAGCGCGCGCATGATCGGAAGTCGCGTCGGTGCAGCGTCGCGGCGGGGAATCAAATTTCAGCGACACCTACGGTCCATCGCGAGCGCCTGGACGTTACCTGACTCATCCCCATCGTTCGATCGGCGAAGAGCGGCCGGTCGCGCGACCCAACACGCATTTTTCTTCTTCGAGGGCCCGGCCCGGAGCTTGCATATCCACGGAGGAACTATATTTTACGACATTTTTTTGCTCGGCTGCACGCGCGCCAGCGTATACGCGATCCTTATGTGTCGTGCGAGGAGCGCGTCGTCGTGCTTGTCAGTCGTTAGTGGGAGGGATGTCTGTGCCGCGAACGACGAGGAGAAGAGGTTTAGGAACCGCGGTGCGAGAGAGAGACGAGCGAAGAGCGAGACGGTTGGATCGAAGAGTCAGCGGTGAGAGCGAGACGGAGCGATCGAAAGAGAAAGCGGGAAACAGCGGCACGGACGAGGACGGAGGCACGGAGAAAGAGAGCAAAACAAAGGAGCGAAAAGGAGACAAGGAACGGGGAGACGGAGACAGAGATACAGCGAGAGGTATGGCGGGAGAAGGATGGCGGAGAGCCGTGTAAAAGATGGCGGGGAAGAGGAAGAGCGAACGGGAAGAAGACGGAGAGAGGACGGGAGAAGGACAGAAGGTATCACGAAGTGCAGAGGAGGCCTCATCTCGATCTTGGTCCTATTTATAGACGTGCTCTCACAGCCTCACTCCTGCCCACTTCTTGCACTGTCTCTCCTATATAGGTGTGCATACACCTATGTAGTGGCCATTGCACGTTCTCCACACGCGAGAGCCAGCGAGCCGGCCAAAACTGTTCGTCCGAGCGCGAAGAATCGATGACGTGGACCCTCTCTCGTCGAGCGTCGAGACGCTGGCTGCCTCTCGCGTATAATGTAGCTCTGCCCATCGAGAAACCTATCCACTCCGAGGGACATCCTCGTTTTCCGTTAATTAGTCGATTACGGAAACGATCGTTTCGTCGTAACCGGTAGCCACGAACCGGCGCGGTGTCGTTTCTCTCTTGGCTATCCTCTCTGAATCATATGGATGACCTTTTTTGGAAGAGCCACCGTCGCTCGAGGCAACGAACGAGACAAATTTTTTATTCCACCGTGTTTCCACGCGCCGTACCTCGAAACCGTTTTTCGTCTTCTCGGAAATTTTTATCTCGTCCCGTCGGCTCGCTACGCGCGTGCAAACGCACTACACGCGTACATAGCGTACCATCGGATTTCACGAACGCGCGCGTCTCGCACCTCTCGCGTCGCGTTTCGAAACCGCGTCGCGTCGTTTCGGAACGAACCGATCCTCCCTCGCGATCGGCGCGCCACGCGTTCCTTCTCGGACCACGACGTCTAACGGCCACGCGAACAAAGCCGGTACAATCGGTTTCGATCAATGGCCGACCGATAAAGAACCACCCAGTGGCGAAAGGGGAGGGAGAAAGAGAGAGAGAGAGAGAGAGAGAGAGAGAGAGAGAGAGAGAGGGGGGGGGAGAGAGAGAGAGAGAGAGAGGAACGGTATCGCGTTCGACGAGGCTCGAGGAAGAGAAAAATTGGCACACGCGACCGCTACTAATTGCCGGTTGTTCGCGATTCGTATCGCGGGAAGGGAAAAATGGCGATAAGCGTGGTCGGAAAGTCCGCGATCGGTTTGCGTTTAGGCGCCAACCGCGTATTTACGGTGAAAGGTTGCACAGAAAACGCGGCAGAACGGAGCTCGCGTTGCATCGAGAGCGCGGCTAGTCTCGTGCAACGGGGGACCGGTCCTTATTAATCTCTAGGTGGCTGCCTTTTAAACACACACTTCGGACGAACAATAGTTCGGTCGCGTAGGATGCGGTTCGCTCTATCGACATCCTTGATCGTCGATGCCCTATTCGGTAATTGTCGATGATCGATAAAGATGTCTGCGGTCGATGAACGTGTCCGAAGCTAGCGCGTAAAAGGGAAAAATAATGGGCGACGTAACGACACTCGAGAAATCGTTCAACGTGACAAACGACGCTATTGCACACTATTATGCTCATGAACGTATTATAAATACGCGTTCCGAACGATTTATGGCTTATACCTTTCACGGATCGCGGACCCCGATATCTCGAAATAAACTATATATCGAAAGGCGGAGAGCATCGAAAACGAAACGTGCTTTCGGCTTTAACCTCGCTGCGTTTTAAAGGCGACGGAGCGTCGCGTCGCGGCAAAAGTTGGAACGAATTCTTCTCGCGCAGGTTCCGCGCATACTTGGCGCTGGGAACGGTGGTGGAAAGAACAGACACAGTCGCTGTTCAATGTTAACTTTGTATTTTTGTTAATAATCGTCGTAGGGAACCGGCCAGATTAAACGGCAACGATGATTACAACACAAATATACAGGTAGTCGAGAGATTCTTTTCTGTGCATTGCACTCGGAGCACCGTATTGTATAATAGTTACACATAATTTACCCAACTATAGCGTAATTATCGTTCGTAAAAAAATTGTCCTCTCTATTCCGCTTTTCCCTTTATCTTCGTTTCTCTCGTTGATTCTTTTTTCTCTCGTTCTTTTTCTCGCGCATGCACGCGTCACACGTATACATCGAAACACGACACTCGCTCTTTTTCTCTCTCACATACATGCACACGTTCTTTCTCTTTCTCACTCTCTTTCTCTCTGCTTTTTATACCGCGTGAACGCGCGTGCGCGCGCGTATACGCTCTTCTGCCTACATATTTTCCGATCTATCTAGAACAATAGCGGATAATATCGCACACGCGTCGGTGCAACCATCGTCGAGTAGGTACAGAGCGCATGAGAACGCTTGGGATCCATAAGCTGTGCGCATTGTCGCGCGTTTTTCATCGTTAATTAATCGTAACTGTTATTAATATAATTATAATATAATAATCATAATAAAAATAATCCTTTAAATTTCACAATATGTATATATATATATATCTATATATATATATATCTATCTGCTCTTTCATGTATATATATATATGCATTATACATATCACATACATATAATATAGATACATATACACAGCGAGAGATCTGTTTTTGTTAATAAATAGAGCAACATATACATAATATTAATCGCCGCTAAACTCATATTTTATACACGTAAACGATCGCGATGGAGAGGGGGAGGTCGAGAGGAAAGGAGGGAAAGTAGGGCGGCAAGATTAAAAGGAGGAAAGTGAAAGATTTTACGGGTTCTCTTTCTCTCTTTCTCACTCTCCGTCTGTCTCGACACGATTCGATTAGACGTAACCTATGTGTACATATGTATAACACGTTATATACATATTTACAGAGGAAAACTCCCGTTTAACAACGATGATCGCGACTAATTACAGTTTACTCGTGGGGTTTGCTGGCGGTGGAGGAGGGTTAACACGACGGGGACGCGATAAGGTCGCGAGACTTTCGAGAAGCCGGGGGCACTCTACGGGGCGACGAGAAGAAGAAGACGAAGAAATAAGAAGAAGAAAAAGGAAGATAAGGAGAGAAAGAAGAGGTGGAGAGGGTTTTCTTAGGAGAGGGTGGCGAAGAAGAAGAAGAAGAAGAAGACGTGGCAAGAGGTTCGATAGGACACGCGGCAAGGGTCCGAGATTTAGCGTGTCCGGAGCACGAAAGGTGTCGTAGGAACGAGTGTGAACGAGTCTCAGAGGTAGAGGACGATAACGAGTAAGAAGCGATTATTATACGATCGTACGATTGAAAGACACGAGGTTCGAGGACGCAAAATGGCGCGTGTACGTATACCGATCGTCCGTCGGTGTCGATCGGATGGATCCTCGTATGGTGCTCTCTCATGGGATCGGGGCACCGATCGCGCGGGATATCGAACTATCTTTCTGCGCTTCGTCGAGCGGTGTGATTTATAAAAATACTTAGAAAATACTCGTCGACGTGTCTCGACGTTTCTGGAATAGGACGTGGGATCGGAATCGCGCGCGATTTTCGTCGATGCGAACGAACGCTCGGGATAAAACGATCGGGGAACATCGACCGGTTTCGATCATGAGAGAGCTGGAAAAGCTGATACGAGATCCCTCGACCGTTTCGAGAAGCGTGCTCGCGTATGGCACCTTTTTCACGCGCTCGTTTGCATGCGATCGAGAGTGCGCAGTTTCTTTCTCTCCCTCCTTCTTCTTCTTCGGCGAATTCCTCCCTGATTCCCGGAAGCTGCGGGCGGTATCGATTCTACGCGATTCGTTCGAGAAGCTGGTCGCAGTATATTTCGCGACATGGGAATATTTCGCGTGCGTATCTACTCGCGGTTAACGCCGATTTTCGCATCTGCATCCCGTTCCCGATCGCAAACAAGGGCATAAAACGCGACCGCCGTAAATAACGATCTCCAACGCGTCTCTCGCTTCGAATATCCTCCCTGACTTTCTTCCTCTTTCTCTCCCGTTCTCCCCGTTTACCGCTAAAAACACCGCACGCGCGCCTTCTTCGAGGACCGAGACCGGACTCGTCGCCGAGGAAACAAGCTAACAGAGTAGTACCTCGGCGAAGCTAGAATTTTCCCTCGTACTCATTCCTACGCGAGTTAAATGCAACTGTGGTCACTCTCTCTGTCTCAATCTCTCTCTCTCTCTCTCTCTCACTCTCTTTCTCTCTCGCACTCTCTCCGTCTATCTCTCTTGCTCGCGCAACGTTTCGCCGTAGGCCAAAGGGACGCGGGAGAAGGAGAAACGAACCGAAACGAGAGAAGGAAGGAAAAACGCGGGAGCACCGTGGATATTCGCGTATACACGCGAAGAAATCGGTACGGTACAACGGCGATTTCCGTGTTCCCTCGTCGATCGTCCCTTTTGGCGATCCAGTGTACTTACACACCTAGAGAGATCGGGGAGAAAGGATCGATCGGTATTCTACACGCGGCGAGAGCTCGTGGTCGTCGTCGGACCGACGACACCTGACACGGACATGGTATTTTACGTACCGTTGAAATTGTCCCGATTAAAAATTCTATTTACAAGGATTGCACGGAAAATCCTCCGCGATTAGTAATTCTTACGTACTACTGTCCGAGAAGCTCGGTATCACGCGTCGTTACATGCCGTCGAAAATGCCGTGGATTGGGTGGTGAGAGGCCTATGATCCTCGTCGAACCCCATTCGTGGATCGCTGGCGTGCCGACGACGATCGATGACGGATCAGTCGGTGACGGCAGTCCGTGAACGTGTTCCGCCTAAAGGTCTCCGTCGTTTCCTCGTCGCCCGGCATGGCGAGAAAGCTGCGTCGCGCGCGACTGTCATCGCGATCGGCTTGGATCGAGGGAAGGATCGAGGTCGATCGCGATGGAAATCGGCGAACGGCGTTTCTACTGGTTGCACGGCGGCGAAGCGTGGCTCTGAGGGTGATTTCTGGCCGAGGCGTGGGTCGCTTCTCGCTTCAGCCTCTGTTTCAGGTGAACCTTCGCGTGCCGTTTCTTCTCGTCGCTCCTCGCGAACTTTCGGCCGCATTGATCACAGCAGAACGGCTTCTCGCCGGTGTGCGTCCTCACGTGAGTGGTGAGATGATCGCTCCTGGAGAAGGAGCGCATGCAGATACGACACTGGAACGGTTTCTGGCCGGTGTGGATGCGAATGTGCCGGGTGAGCTCGTCGCTGCGGGAGAACCTGCGGTCGCAGCCGTCCACGGGGCAAGCGTACGGCCGTTCGTGCACCGGCGTTTTGCTCGGTCGATTCGGATACTTGCGCGGCTTCACCGGGACCAGCCTGAGCGGCAGAGCGCTCTGCTGGTAAACCTGCGAGAGAATCTCGTGTCCCTTGGACGTGCTGGGGTTGTATTCCGCCAGCTGCACGCCCGTTGTACCAGCCGACGGTGGCGGTTGTTGCTGTTGCTGTTGACTCGGTTGAGGTTGCTGCTGCGGCGGCTGCTGCTGCTGCTGCTGTTGCACGTTTGGCCCGTAGCCGGCGGATCCGGTCGGTTCCTGCTTCAACGTCGTCTCTTGATGATGATGATGGGAATGATGGTGGGACAGGAGATTCGGATCGTAGGCGTCCTCGTGCGTCGTCAGCCACGCCGTCGGGGTGGTGGTCGGCGTGTCATGGTAACCTGGTGGCGGGGGTGGCTTGGATTCGACCGGCAGAAGTTCGACGGTCTCGCCGCCGTACGGGGCCGAGTGAAGGTTGGGGTGGAGGAACGGCTGACCCGTCAAGGTCAATGTCGGGGAGGCTAACGGACCCCAGATCTCCTGACTGGCCGGTTGTTGTTGCTGCTGCTGCTGCTGCTGCTGGGGCGGTTGCTGTTGATTCTGCAGAGCGTTGAGCGGCGAGGATTGCGTACATGTGGTGGTGAAGACGCCGCGGTAGGTCAACCGTGGTAGATCAACGGCGGTAGGCACGTTGCAGATGTTCACGCTGGACGCGGGCGCCGAAGACACCGAGGACGTGGAATGAGGGGAAGAGTAGAGGATTACTCCGCCTTGCAGCACGTTGCAACGATCCGCGTCCTCTTGGGTCTGATGATGACGCGGTGGACTAGCGGATGGAGGAGCGCCAGGCGTGCCTTGGTCCTGAGACTCTTGGTGATGATGGTGTCGATGATCCCTGCCGGTCGAGGTAGCCGTTTCATCGTCCTCCGGTGTCGCCTCTTCCAGGGACAGGTCTTCGCCCGCCAGGCTGCCTACAAATCATCCATCAAGTTCTCGATCAGTCTCGAAATCCGACTCAGGGTGCAGGACGGAGGAGGTCGCGGATGCGCTCGTCCACACGCGCGCCCGAGGCTGAGAATCGGCGCGAGTGCACGCGTGCATCTCGCGACCCAAAGCGAATCGACAGGAAGGACCGCGCGATACGGGGATGACTTTATCTGCTAGGCGAGGGTACGCCGGCTGCCTCTATCTGTCGTCTGCATCCTGCCGTCTCGTTACTTCCTTCCTACGTATACACGCGATCGTTACTCCGTACCGAAAAACAAGTCGGCAGACTCCCAATAGTGAGAGAAACTCGCGGTCATTCGGTATTTCGCGAAGCGATTTTTCGCGTCTAACGTCGGATCGGGAAACGGCAACGGCGAATCGCGGCATACGCCGGGAAACCATCTGTTCCGTGCGTATCAACGGGCCTCCGGGAGCGTAACCGCGCGTGTGTTGCTCCTCTGGTTGGTATTATCGGTGCTCGCGAACGGAAGGAAACGGAGAAAAGAGAGGGGTGGTGGACGACAACGACAACAACGACCACGACCACGACCACGACCACGACGACGTAGGAACGATAAAGAGGAACGAACTAACCGGGTCGGTCGGTGGAGTCGGCGAGAAAGTCGCGGAAAAGACGACTACCGGCGTGACGGAGGGTGGTTGTATCGGTCCGGATGAACGAGGTGGGGGCTCTTGGAAGCATGAATGAACCGGCAAGGGGTGGTGGGAGGCAGAGGTGAAGGCGGAGGTGGAGGCGGCGGTGATGCAGGGACGGGCGGTGGAGGGTTTCTGAATGTCGGGGTCGCTGAGTATTGATCCGCGACAGGCGGGCAGGTTCGATATTAGCCGTTTTCGCGAGAGCCAACCGATATACGTCATACCGGCACATCATGCACTTGGCCGCGAAGACGGTGTTTGGCTCGTGATCGCTTTGGAAATATGGATGCAGGGAAGCCGGATTTTCGAAGGGGTGCTCGACGCAGCCACGAGGGTAGCAGCAGCAGCAGGAGTTGGCAGATATGCGGAAAGCGAAAGTTGGGACGTTCGTGAAACGCAGCAAGTGCAAGGCCGCTAGAGTTCGAATCACAGCCGATAGACATATACCGCGAGTACGGGTACCTTTGTACGCCGCGTACTCGAACGGCGTATATTTTTACGCGTCTCGCGTCGGACGACGACGAGTTCCGAGAATGCTATCCCGCGAATGCCATTATCGCGGGACGAGATACTTTTTCTCCATCGCGATTCTCTTTTTCGCGATACCAGACGCGATACCAGACGCGATACCAGACGCGATACCACGACACGCGACGAAGAAACGAAAGATCGAGAAGGACTCATCGTCGTCGCTTGATCGAAGAGCAATCGCTTAAAGGACTGTTGATTGTAGGTACCTGAAATAGGAGGTGGCTCGACGAGCGCGGAGGGGCCGAAGAAGGACGGTAAATCGCTGCTCGTGGTAACCGGCGTGTTTAGGTCACCTGGTTTATCCTTCTCGTTAGGCTCCTGGAGATCGTCTCTGGAGCAGTCCTTGTCCTCGTTGACGGACTGCAAACGCCTCTTGCCATCGGTGGAGTCGCTGGACGGCGAGGAGGCATCGACGTGCCGATGATGTTGATGGTCGTCCAGTCGTTGATGGTGATGGTGATGATGCGGTCGACCATGATGGTCCGAGGTATCGGTAGTGTTTTGATGCTGGGCTTGCAGGGGCGCGCAAGTGGCCAGCGACAGGGTCGGTATCGTTTTGTTGCAGCTCGTGGACGAGGTGCAAGTGGTAGCGGCCGGCGTTGACGTGCCGCCAACGCCGCAGACGATCGAATTGGAGGATGTCGCCGCGTTGTACGGTAGACACGCGTCGAAACTTAGCTGCACCGCCTGTAGATTGAAGGTGGCATGAGGATGATGATGATGATGATGGTGGTGATGCCCGAGGGGTGGCGGTGAGAGCAAAAACGGACTGGTGGCCGCGTGTGGTTGCGAGCCCACCACTTCCATGCCGTCCATCGTCATCCTCTGGAGTTGGTCGCCTGCTTGGCTGCTGGCGGTGGCAACCTCCTCGGTACCGCACTGCGTGTCCTCGCCTGCGGTTGTATCGTTCAACGCTATTATTATGGTTAAAATGTTGTCCTTCCTCGGTCGCCCCGACACAGTTAAGCCTCTTTCTCTCTCCCACCGGTGCGCGCGTAGGGTAAAATACAAGCTCTCTACGCGAGTTAGCCTTTATCCGTGCGTCTTTTCTCGGTCCTCGGTCTATGGACGCGTATACGGCCGGGTTCGTTCTCCGCGCTTCGTTCACCGCGCTTCCTTCACCGCGCTTCGTTCTCGCCGTGCAACGACGCAACACCACCCGACGGGGTCGCGTGGTTCACGCGCGCGGCTCACGCGCGGCCAAAGTTCGCGTTCGCACGCGAGAACGCGAGGATCGAAAGGAAGTCGAGTCCGTTCGGATCGGTCGTATCTGTCTCTCTTTTCCTCTTCCTTCGTATAGCTCGAGTCACTGGGTTAGTAGTCAAGCGGACGTAGCACGCGCTCCCCCTTTTTTATCCGTCGCGCGGCACGCGCCGAGTCTCTCTTTCTCAGCGAGGTATACAACACGCACACACACACACACGAGGGAGCGGACGCCGGGCGGCAAAAACCGTGTCTCGATCGCTCGCCTCTCTGTCCTTCCTTTTCTTTCCCTCTCTCTTCTCCCTTCGAGATCCCACTCTCTTTCGCGAGCGAGCGCGCGCGCCTGCGATCTGTCGCCGCGGCGGCTGGATATACACCACCGCCGCGCGCGCACAACCACCACCAACCACAAAGCACTACTACCACTGCTACCCAACAATCTCACCGGATCGCCGCCGATCCTCGTTGTCCCGATCCGGAACGAGAACGGCCGCCCGCCGCCGGCCGGTCTGACGACCACAGGGGACTGCCGGTTCGTTTCCCTCGAACGCGCGCCCGCGCGCCACGGACCAACGAGGACGCGCGCGACTATGCGGATCCTCGGCTCGAGCCGGTACGAGGGGATGAAAGATAGAGAGAGAGAGAGAGAGAGAGAGACGGTGTCACCGTCTTCCGTGCTTTTTCTAATCCCAGACGCGTTCGAATTTACGCGCGATGGTGTTTGGTTTACGACGTACGGTATAGGTATCGAGAGATATGTCGACTCGTTTCACTCGCGACGAATCCTGCGTGTACGCGACGACCACGACGACGACCACGACGATGATCTCGCGTGCTCGCGCGCGCGCGCGCGCGTGTCGCCGCGTAGGTGCAGGCGCGCAGTCGCGCGCCTATTTGTCGTTCCGTGTGTCCTCCGTCCCTTTCTTTCTTCGCCGCCGCCTCCTCTCTTTATTTTCCTCCCTCTCGCTCTTTTTCTCTCTCCGTTTCTCTTTCCGTCCGCCTCTCCCTCTTTCTCGCTCGCTCTCTCTCTCTCTCTCTCACTCCCTCTCTCTCTCTGTCTATCTCTTCCGTTGGGTTTATCGTGCGCCTCGGTAGATATGTACCTCTCCGTGGTTAGTGTGCGTGTCGGAGGCAGCAGATCGCGCGCTCGGATTGTCGGAGGACGCGCGATGCGTGGGGGTCGCGCACGAACTGAGCCGAGCGACGGCGCGCCCCGTAGTTTTATGAATGGACCGCGGAGACTGTCCCATATTTGGAAGCGGCGAGTCGACTGCCAGCCAATCCCCGCTCTGCGGTCCCCTATCAACGCGCGCCTGTGTACGTGACGCGTGTATAGCCAAGCGCGTGTGTGTATACGTACACACGCGCCGCTTCCCCCACCGCGCGGCTAGCACGTCGTCACTGCGAGCCACTGCTCGCAGGCATCTCTACCCCCACCGCGGCACCCTTCGCGCGCTCCTACCTTCCCCTCGCTCCCCGCCGCGGAACCCGCTCCCGTGTCTACCCCCTCTGTGCCGCCGCTCGGTTCTCCAGTGACGTAAACGGCGTGACGTAGAGGCGTCGCGCGCGCTCGTCTCCCTCGCGATCAAGAGCGTTCGAAAGCGCGTCCGAGGGTTTAAAAACGTACGAAATCACGTGGAAAGGTAGAAAAGGCGAAGCAAACTCGACGAATTTTTCCATCGACGTTGAAGAGATATATAGATCGATGAAACTTTTCATTTTTCCTCGATCCTTCGTCGAAACGTTCGAAGTGGAACGTTTTTCCTACAGGCGTCGCTGGTTCGTTAGTCCCGCGAAGCGTATCGTTTAGGTGAAGTTCCTCAGAGAAGGTAGACGCGGAAAAAAGCGTCGAGGGAGAAAAGTTCCTCGCGTCGACGTTTATCGTCGAGTATTCCGTGATCCGTAGTACATAATCCCGACGACGTCCGCCACCCCTCGTTCTTCCGCCTGCGTAAGCTCGTGCTGACGCGATCAGCGCCGGCGTACCGACGCCTCTCGCTTCGTGACAGACGTCGGTTTATCGTCGATTCGAGAGCTTGCGGCTACCATCGGTGTGTCCCTTTTCGCGAAACGTTTATCGATCGAAGCTCGTCGCGTAGAGATGAAGCTTCTCGTTACTTCCTCCCGACGATAATTCTCGAATACAACGGGTAGTACCCATTCCACTTTCGCTACTGACGATACGAGCGTGAACGTAGGTTAGGTTTCGAATGCCGAATTAATCGATCGGGAGGGCGGCCAGTCGCGTGGCCAACGTCTGACATATCGCTGGACGGGACTACTTATTTTTAATTCCACCGTGTTTATCGGACAATTCGGGCGACGGGTAGAGGGCGTTGGACTCGCGACGATCTCTCCGGGAGAGGTCTTTCCGGCACGCGATTCCGCGACGATCAGAATCGGAGGAGAGCGAAGGAAGCGGCTGGAAAACAGACGCGCAACAGGTGAGAGAGAGAGAGAGAGAGAGAAAGAGAGAGAGAGAGAGAGAGAGAGAGATTATTCTCGATGCAGTGGCGCGCACGTGTCGAATCTGTTGGAAAGCGGTGTTCGATCGCTGCGGCAAATAATCCGGGTGAACGGCGGCCCGCAAAGTTCCGGACTGGGTTTGCCACGGCGAAGGAGCAATTTCCTGTGCGCCGGTTGCCACCACCTGTAAGAGCGCGCGCGTGCCGTTCGGCCATACGCGCGTACATGCGTGCGTGTGCCCGGTTACGAGAGGCACACGCGCGTCTGCGCACGCGCAAACGATCTTTTTCTCGCGGGCGTCGTGCAACCACCTGATGCCCTATTTGGGGCCACGCACAGCCACGCGACCATTCTCCGTCTCTTTTTCTTTTCCACTTGCCCGCCTCCGTTTCTCCCTCTCTCCTCACCTCCCTCCTCGCTGCCACGCTACCTATCCTTCTCGCTCTTTCTTTTCTCGAATTCGAGCTATTTCTCGTCTAAGAAACCCCCTCGATTTGTCACCAGGTTGATTTTCCCGCGACGTTTCGCCGATCCGAGGATAAATCGAGCGGTGGAGAAATGGCGCGTCGCGGTGGAAAGATCGGTGGCTAAAAAAGGCCGTCGCATTTACCATTGTCGATCTCGCCGGGTACTAAAAGACACGCGCGGTAGGAGGCAGGAGATCGGTGTAAAACGAGCGTGTCCGTGTTTCTCGATTTGGCTATCACTCCGGTGTTCCAACTTCATTCCTCTTTAGGTGTATTCTCTAACGTTTTCTCTCTTCCATTCCGCCTCGTTCGTTTTGCTCCGCTTTAATCCGTGGCGAGCTTGACGAGCGAGGCTCGCAGCTCCTGGAAACCGTGACGCGTAAACGGAAGCGATTTGATACGACGAAAGAGCGTTTATCGGGCAACGCACGCGTTCGCTCGCGTCCGTCGCGAGTGGATCTGTCGCCGGCATGCGAGAGATAAAATCGGCTCGGTTCGGTAAACTCGGCGTAAATGGGTCGGCCCGACCCGTCCCGAGAATTCGCGAACGCGTTCAAATTTACCCCGATCGAGAAACCGCTCGGTCGCGCCACTTTTCCTCGCAACTCGCCTTCTAAATCGATGGCCGAACAGCCGCGGAGACAGGTTGCGCGATATTATAATGAGTCAGTGCCATATATAACTTTATCAAAAGCCGCTCGCGCGACGCGAGCGCGTTTAGCTGTTACGTTGGCGGTACGCGGCCGATTCGCGAGATTTCCCTCTGAATTTTCGACCGAGCCGAAAGCCAAGTCGCTTATCTAACTCGAGGGAAACTCGAGCCAAGAGAACCGTCTCGTTCTACGCAGCGCGACGTTGATCGTTGGCCGCTGGCAGCGATCTCGAGCAGCGGAAGACGAATCGTCGAATTTTTCCACGCACTTTTCACGCGCTCGTACGTCGACCGCGACACTCCGTGCATAGTCGCGAGCTTCCGGTTTCATCGACGAAACGAACGCAGCCGCGCGATCCGCGTGGGAGTGGCGCGTGCATCGATCTCGGCGCTTCGCGACTAGCGCGAGGCCAGAGCGGACGCGCGGAACGTAATCGCGACGCGATCGGCTCCGAAGCGGACGAGCGGGAGAGAAGAGGAAGAGGCGGCCGCAGCGCGCGGTCGCGTGTGCGTGCAGCGTGCCGGCCGCCACGGCATTCTGGCACGAAAACAAAACGTTCTAAAATTACCGACGGCTCTCGGGAAGGCGGTGGGCGCGCACTATTCGCGGCGCGACTCGACGCGATTTTGCGCGGGCGACCGCCTCTATTTCGGGCCGCCACGCAACCACCTGAGCCACCCAGCATCCCCAAATACCCGGGATGACTAGCACGGCGCGCTTCGAACACTCGTACACGGCCACGATGAGTCAGTCAACCGATGTAGTCAATTTTTGGCATCCCTCTCGATCCGGTAGATCGTCGCGCGGGCCGATCGTCGTTGCGATTCGACCGGTAGCAGCGCGCGTCTTCGCCTCCGACGCGGGATCGACACTTGTTGATGACGACGCGAGCGTCGTCCACGGGGTCCTGTCGGACAGGCGTTTAAGGGGAACTCGCGAAATCTTTCCGCGTTTTCGCCGGTAACGTTTGGAGGGGCGGAAGAGAACGCGAGCGATTTCGAGCGGTCTCGAGACAATGGCGCGGAGAAGGAAGATCATTGACGACTGGTTAGAAGTTACGAGAGTGCGTGGCAAGTTATTTCGAGGAAGGAATAAACGACGGTT